CATGACCTAATTTCAGTCAAACTCAAGCTATGCAGTCTATCTTATTCGGCCCTCTCGATAAACTGCTCGTTCCTTACAAATGGCATGCAGCACGTCCTCATATATAATCCTTTTCTCTGGAATATTCCAGGGTTCCATTCTAGTAGTTTTACTTTTAATATTTTTGTCTCTCTGATTTGTCTAACGTTTCTCTGTCCTCCGATCTCTTCATTTATGCAGACGATGTAATTCTTCTCAAATCCTTTCATCCATTCGATGCTTTAGTAGATTGTTCTGCTTTAGGCTGCGGTCCACTTGCTTCTTTCAAATGCTCTTAACGTTACGCTCTAAACGCTACGCTCCGATTGGTCCATTACTATTTCAAATGCTACAATTGCTACGTGAACGCTCCAGCCAACCCACCTCCCGAGGTGAGGCAATTGAAGCGAAGTGGGAGCAAAAACGATGACGTATTGATAACGTAATCAGAGTTGCTGGAAGCGTTCCGAAGCATCAAATGGACCAGTCATATCAGTGCTACAAATGCTCTGTAGCGTTTGAAGCGCTAAGTGGACCGCAGCCTTAAATAAATATCGAAAATCAATTGCCGAATACAACAATTCAAGCAGTGAAATATACAAAATTATAGACTTGTATAATTAATACAATAAAATATAACAGTGAAATTTAACTGCGTGTTAGAAGACTGCGCTGAGTGCTATCTTGCGCAAAAATTAATTGTGAATAATAAATTAGATTTGTACGTTTCAGCTTACGTTTTGAGACAGTCTCAGTAATAATTACCGCTAATCGCGCTAAATACTATGTCGACCTGTATATCACAAAATCGTAGTTCCCTCCAATTATGCAGTCGCAGTGGAAATGCGAAACAACCATCCTCAACATAGTCTGATGTCGTGCCAATTAGTTGCAAAGCTGAGTGGAACAGATGGTGGATCTCAAGCTATTATTTGTATCAAGATTTTTTGAACAGATAGAGATTAATTTTATGTTATTTATAAATAACATCAAAAACTCATGGCCTCCAACATGATCGCACACGAATCTAAACATCGTCAACCCATTAAACATATTTAAGATTCACGATAATCAATGTTCGATTAAAAATAATTTAAGATCCAAAAAAGACTGTCATGTTTGTTCCGATGTTGGTCACATAGTAACCGTTAAAACAAAAAGAGATGTGCCGTCATAACAGAAACCTGTCGGTCAATTATATATACATATTATAACTTGTTATATATACATATTATAACAATAAACATATTATAACTTGTTGAGAACTTCTATGTAACCATAATTTAATGCCTCAGTGTCAGTTTGAATGTTGAGACCATTTGATTGGCGATTTATGTAGAGTATCTCCGACATATTGTTCGTTTATTACAATTTCTCTCAGTATCCAGAATTCTCACATCATCCCAGTCGAAGTCATGACTACAATACACCCTATGCTCTGTGATAACTG